GCTGCACAGCAGTTTTTTTTTTTTTTTTTTTTCTTCTTCTTCTTCCGCCTTGGTAGCCATAGCCATACGCGACGTTTTTTTTTTTTTTTTTTAATTAAGTTATTCTTCTCTTCTTCTTCTTATTCGTCCCTTGCCGTCCTCCCTCTTCTACTATCCCACCGGTGGCCATGACGGGGGGCGACGCAGGAGGAGTTGGATGGAGAAGAGCAACTGCAGCGGAGAAGATGAAAGGATCTGCAGGGCCTTCTTGTGACAGGCCTGGACCGAGTACGCAGAGGACGAAGTCTACGGTGTGCACTGCATGTGCTGGTGGGAAGGAGCCCACACCAGGGACCGACCCAAGCTTGTTTGAGGGGCAGGGTGAGACGGAACATGCGAAACTGCAGTTGAAGAACACAGTTTGGAACGGGTGTGAGCAGGGGAGGAGGTTGCTACTTCGAAAGGGCATGGGGAGTACTGGATCAGGTGCAGGTTGTGCTCCATAATCTTCAGGGGATCGGCAAGCAAGGCTGTTGAACATTTCCTAAAGCCCATGAAGCCGTGTGCAATGCGGACGGGGGAGATAGTCCACACTTTGGTCGCTGCCGGCGTGAAGATCCAGCCGAATGACAAGAACCCGGTTCTGAGTCAGAAGTACTTCGTGATCATGGGCCGACTGGAGAAGAAGGCTTCGATGATCCCCAAATAGATGAGCCCCAGCCATCGCCTGTTGCTGGCTGGTATGTTGCCTGCATTGCGAACCTGTCTGCTAGCGCGCTGGGCCAGGCGAGCGGAGGGGAAGGTGCAGTGGCGGGTGAAGGCAGTGATGAAGGGCAAGGGTCGACAGCACAAGTGGTCGCCACCCGACTGACCACTGTGCGGCGGTGGGTGTACAACGAGGCGCAGAAAAAACTGGACATCGCATGGGCAGAGGCCATGTTCAAGGCTGGCATCGCATTCAATTTCCTCAATATGGACATGACACAGACATTACATGCTGTGTACTTGGAGGTGGCGAGCGCGAGGCCGAAGGTGAAGCTCCCTTCGTACAATCACATGAGGACGGTCATGTTGGATGTCATCTATCTCAAGATCCAGAAGGAGGCCCTTCATGGACTGCATGCTGGGACACGTCCGGATGCACATTCATTACTGAATGGCCAACCGACTGCAAGAATCGGCTAGTGATGAACTTCTTGGCAGCCGGGGAGCAGGGGGCAATCCTTGTGGCAACGGTGACAATGACGGGGAGGAAGAAGAATGCCCCAGCATTGGCGAGGTTGTGGGAGCAGGTCATGAGGGAGATAGGCTTGAACCGCATCAACACCATCGGCACCGACAACGCGGAGGTGAACAAGAAGGCGGCCCAGATCCTACTGAAGGACTTGGCGAACCTGTCGTGGATCAAGGGCATTGTGAAGACCACAAACACGATCGTGAAGTTCATCAGGAATCATCATGCCACCCACGGGCTGATGATGTCCATTGATGACACCTTGTCCCTGCTTCGTCCCACTGAGGTCCACTTTGGATCCGTGTATATGATGCGGCAACGTTTGGCAGGCAGAGAGAATGTCCTGACAGAGATGGTCGATCGAAGGGAGGCTGCGAAGTGGAGATCATTAAGATGGTCAGGGGAAAAGTTGCGCAGAAGGCTGACCTTGTGTACTACACTGTGAGGTCCGAGTCTTGGTGGCCACAAGTGAAGAAGATTGTCTCCATCATGCGCCCAGTGTACCAGTTGTTGAAGAGGATGGACGCGGAAGGCACCTCTCCAACAAATCTTGTGGAGTACGATGAGCTCGTTGCTAGGAGGCTGACAAGTGTCGTGCTCACAAAGAAGGAGCGGGAGGATGTGATGGAGAAGGTCCGGGATCGCATGCGGATGATGAGGCAGACGGTCCACGCAGCTGCATTCCTTCTCGACCCCCAACGGAGAAATCCACATTGGCTCTTCGGACAGGACAGTGCGTTGCTGCAGAATGCAATGGTTTTTTTTTGTTGAGGCAGATCGGGGGGCGAGTGGAATAGCAAGGCACATTCAGACAATTGGGGGAATCTGATGGAGTTTCACAAGGAGCTTGGGAAGCAAGTGTCGTCGAACGTGGAACCAGGGAAAGCCCCCAAGAAGCGCAAGACGAGACTATATGGAAAAGGGTTGCGAAGGATGATGCTTCAAGGTTGACCCCGGCGGATTGGTGGGCAGCACACGGCGGGGATGTTCCGGTCCTTCAAAAAATTGCAGAGAAGGTCATGGGCATGTGGAGCACTACCACCCCTGCCGAGCACAACTGGGCGTCCATGGACTTCATCCACTCTAAGAGACGGAACAGTCTGTTCCTGGAGTCCCTTGAGAAGCTGGTCTACATTCATTGGAACATGCAGTTGCTGCGTGCTCGAAGCCATAAGGACAGCTGGTATACTAATGTGCGGGGTTCCTTCTTCGAGTCGTTGATGGAGCCAGTGAATAATGATGGATCCTTGTTGTCGGGGCCTGTTGAGGATCCCGCAAAGAAAGAGGAGCAGGAGAGGAGGCAAAGCAGAATGGTGAAGGCTCCAAAAGGCAGAATTCCCAAGGAGCTTGTTGATTCCGACTCCAGCGACAGCAACGACCTCGAGGATCTCATGTGGAAGGGCAAGTGTTGGAACGAGTCCTCATCGGAGGACTGCAGCGAGGAGGAGGCAGGGGACTCCGATTTCGAGCTTCCTGAGGCGCGAACTGTCCTGGCAACCACATATGTTGGCAGGCGTACGCGGCAACGAGAGAGGGATCTTGAGGTGGAGCCCATGCCGGTTGTCGATGTGGTGGATACAAATGTCAAGTTTTTGTTGCACCCCCATGATGATCCGGACGAGGAAGAGGCCACACGTGCTAAGGCAATGGCAGACAAGAATGCTGAACTTGTGGACAAGCGGATGCGTGTGGAGGAGATCCGTCGTGCTGCGCTCCCTGCCCGCAGGGAGAGGGAGAGACGCGCTGCACAACACAACAAGCACACCGATGAGCCGGTAAAGGAGGTGGACATGGAGGACGGGGAGAACATTGGAATGCACGAAGAAGAGAATGTGGTACAACAGGGTGGGGACGAAGGGCAGCGAGCGGACGGACCACGAGTGCAGCAGGAGATGGGGGTTATCGAGACAGCGATGGAGAAGACCGGGCAACAGCAAGAGGAGGCTTCGAAGGCAGGGAGAGAGCAGCCCGCAGGGGGTGTGGTGCACATATGCAGGCCCCACCCACATGTGGAGCAACAAATGGAACTGGAGGAACGAAACACCAGCCAGCAGGCCKCAAYGAGTGACCAGCAGCAGGAGCAGCTGGAGGAGCAGAAGGCTACAGAGGAAATCGGCACACCCCCATWCCCTGCGCAGAACGAGGCTGTGCAGCATGACAACCTATGGAAGAGCAGGGCAGGAAGAAAGAGGAAGGTCACCATGCAGTCGTCCCCAACAGCGCCCCAACGCAGCCCSGRAAGACCCCAAAGAAAAAAGACAGTTAGAAAATCCCCRAAGCGGGACGGACGCCGCAAGGCACAGCCTTGCAAGAAGGTCGTTGATAGTGACGATGACCCAGATACCGATGCCAGTGTCCCACAGTCCGATGACAAGTGCAGCCCATGCGAGTTTGAGTGAGGACAAGAGAGAGAGAGAGAGAGAGAGAGAGAGAGAGAGAGAGAGAGAGAGAGAGAGAGAGAGAGAGAGAGAGAGAGAGAGGTTCTAGATTTTGTGACACAAAATGATGATCTGGAAACAAGTTCAAAACTTCAGAGTTTGTCATCTTCTACTTTTTCTTTCAATATTTTCTTCTTCTTCTTCTTCTTCTTCTTCTGCAGGTTTGCAGAAAGCCAGATACGTTGTTGCCGAAGCCCGTGCTTGCTGAAACCACAGCACCACAACCCCCCTAACCACCGACCCACCACCCATGAAATACCCCCCAGCCCCCACCCCAAAAAAAAAAATTCTCTGTTCAAAGTTTTATCACCGTATTCGGGGAGATCTTGGTGAGCGCAGTCCGACCATGTTTTCAAATATATATATACATATATATATCGTCACAAACAGAACTGCCCGGTAAACCGTAGGCAGAGAGAGAGAAGAGGACAACAAACGAGGGGCTGTGACAAACTATTTCGTCGGAGTTTCACCGACTCATCAGGAGGCTGAACCCTCAACAGTCTGCAGAATCCCCTCACTGATTACACTGTAAATAATAATCTACCTTAACCAAAATCAAAGTAGACCACTCACCCACACCAGATGGAAAACTCTACAGACTGTCGGTTCACACCCCATCACAAGCCAGCAATATATATATACATATATATTGTCATGTATATATATATTGTCACATCACTACAAACTAAAAGAGCGCACTTTGCGGAACAAAGAATAAAAGCAAAAAACGGGCACAGTGATATATCGTCACAAATAGAACTGCCCGGTAAACCGTAGGCAGAGAGAGAGAAGAGGACAACAAACGAGGGGCTGTGACAAACTGTTTCGTCGGAGTTTCACCGACTCATCAGGAGGCTATATATATATATTGGCCCACTTTTGGGCCCAACCGGAATTCCGATTGGACCACCTGGGGTCCAACCGGCCGGTTGACGACACAGCCCTGTTCTCACTACCATTCCTACCACAGCGCATCCCACCATTACTATGGACTAACTCACTACATTCCTATGAGAGTCCTCCTCACTACCACTATGGACTCACATCCCCCCTCCTTCCCCAGAAAAGAGCAAGGCTGTGGAACAATGTAATCAGAAGAGCCACTGTGTGGGAAATTCAGACGAGGAGATGCTCCAAGACCATTCACTAAGGGCTGCTTCAAAGGTGTTCATGGAAACAGAGATAGTATGTGCATTGAAAAGTATTCAGAGGCGGCAAAAGGCTCCCTGGATCAGGCAGAGAATCTCTGGACCAGTCGGGACGAATTAGCTTTCGGAAGAAAAAATTGCAGTTCCAGAATCCAATCGGCTAAAAAGTGGAATTCCACAAAATCCAATCAGTGCACCATGGATCTCTAACAGTGAGGGACAAAGCACTGTTGAGCCATCTTCGATCTTCGATCTTGCCCAACCTGTCGAGCCACATTTCGGCAGCCCCTTTCTTTCCAGTACATCGCAAAGTTTTGTCTTTGTCGTTTCGTGGCTCATGTTCGACCTCGCCCTTGAAGACCGTTAGGACATACTCACACTAGGACTGTTTCCACTTCTCAGTTGACACAATATACTGTTCAGTTTATTTTTCTGCATAACATATATCATTTTCAGATTTTTTTGCAAACTTCTTTTCTTTTTTCATGACCCCGGTCATGATCAGGGCATCCCGGTCGTGAGCTGACGCCGCAGTCAAGACCGAGGCGACCGCCGGTCATGGCGATTCATCGCCCATAGCCCCCCGTAACCCCCCCCCCCCAAATCCCCAGAAGTTTCTCAGCAGATTTGGGCTGGAATCAGTAAGTGCAGTTTAGCCCTGAACTCAGATTTGAAAAACAACAGCGGATGGCCCTCTACAGACTGCCGACCAGTCCGCCAACAGGTTTGTCTGACTGGTAGGCGAGCCGACGGCCTACGGTAGGCGTCAGCTGTAGGCGTCAGCCATAGGCGTTCTGACAACCCTGGCCCTCAGTTAATTTCATAAGTATATTGGGATGCTGGGCCCCGTTTTCAGCAGGTGCAGCTCCCCAGCAATAGATTGGAGCAATTACAGTCGAGACATCCCGCTTACGGGCAATGCTGTTATCACCTCCATCAGTGCACACTTTTTGAGCGAGTACGGCTGAGCAGGTATGACTGTGCGAATACGACTGCCTATCCGACTGGTAAGCACAGCCTACACTACTACATCCACCATGCCACAGAGTCACCCCGTTTTCACCCACCAGGTGAGTATGGGCCGACCTCTCCCATGGCTTTCCTGCTTCCCCACCAATCTCCCCCCTTCCCCACCAATCTCCCCCCTTCCCCACCAATCTCCCCCTCCTAACTGCACTCTCCCTGTACAAGGCGCCGCACACCTATGACCCCAGTCTTCATCCTCACCACCAGCCACTATGGCACTTGCCATTCCACAGTGCCCCCCTCTCCCGCAAGCACACGTTAAATTAACACTGTTGTGGCCCAATGGCAGCCTGTGTCTGAATTATGTGTTGACCTACCCAGAATTGACTTTATATACATATAGGAAAGGGCCGCCTTCCGCTGGTAGGTACTGACCACCAAAACTGTCTGAAATCAGCCAAAACCTACCAGTCCCAGGCAGAACTACCGGGTCCCACCTCTGCGCCTAGGCAGTAACCAAGGTCTACATTCCCTTGCTGCCTGCGATGTGGCCTAGAGGGATCTCATTTTCCTTCTATAAATTTGTTTTTATTTACTTATTAGTAAGTTATTACTTTTCATGTATTATATAATAATTCTTGCCGGGGTAATAGGAATGGGACTGATGCTCCCCAGAATCGATTAGGAGCAAGGGCCATAAGGACCTGTTTATGCGGGGAAAAAAACACCAAAATCTACAGGCACGTCCCACACAATGGTTGGCAGTCCAGAGGCGAGCAAAACCCAGCATCACGCGGGACGCACTGGTGGTTTAAGGATCAGGCATACCTGTCTACAACAGAATTTACAGGAAAAGCCCCCAAGTTCCAACCTTGACCACCCATATGGAGATCAGACAAAGAACCACCAGGCGAGGGCAACTTGATACACAGCGAGGCGCCCGCGGCCCATTTGGTATATCAGTTAGGTGACATGCCTGTGGGAAAGGAGCTGGATTGATGGTCCCCAGAACAGGAAGGAGCCAGGACCATACGGCCCTGAATTCATGACAGGGAAAAAAAAGAAAACTCTCTATCCAAGTTTGGCCATCGAACTTCAGTGTTCGAACTAATTCCATTTTTCCTCTCGTCGAAGAGTTGTCCATAGTGACACGTCGAATGGCTAACAATTTGGCGTGTAAACTTTGTGGCAGTCTTGTCTGAAGTGCACTAACTGCACACCAGAAACCACACAGTCTGGAAAAAATGCAAGAATTTGAAAACAGAGGACAAAGTTGGATTCCTCTACATCTCTCTATCCCAGGCATGCATGGCCTCCTTCCTTTCTTTAACCAAAGTTGGTCACACCCATCATTCGCATTGACTATCTCCACATAAGATGTGAGATTCTTAGCCTTAAAAGCATAATAATACCTCCTGACAAGCCTGACAGGCTGACATACAATTTGAACAACCTCTGAGCATATCGCAGCGAGATCACGTACAAGTCAGACCTCACCAAAGAGAGTGGAACTCCATCCGTTTTCTTCTCCTTGCCGTCTTTTTTGGATGTGTTTCCCTCTAGGCTATGTTGAGACAACCAGCACAATCCATTTGCCTTCTCTGAAGGGAGTCTGAAACCCCCCCCAATGACAATTGCCCGGTAACTTCTAGCCCTTATGCACATATGATGCAGTGCGCCTTCATTCTCACCTCTCCTATCACAGGCCTGCCTTCTCACCTTTCCCATAGGCATACACGTGAAGAAAATAGCACTTCCTTGGCAGACTCACAGCCACTTGCTGCACATCTCAGATGAAATCATTGCCAGAGTAATTTTGCAAAAAAGCCGTTGTGCGCATAGGTCCACAATTCAGTTCCATACGCGAACCAATGGCTACCAAAAGTGATGATTCATTCAGTTCAGTTCAGTGTTTCCTTATTTCGTTCAGAGCATGTGGGTGCATGACGCGGTCAGCCAGCGAGTTTCATTCCCTCGTCGCCATGATGGCGCGGGAAATCAATTCGAGGTACACGAACTCCATGTATTCTCCAAAGAGGTTAGGGGTGGGCCAACTCGACTATGTCTAGGTCTTTGTAGGGAAATTGGGCGATCCCTAGGGGATAGGAGGACAGTGTGGCCACGTTTTGGATGTATCCCCCTGCCCACGCCGGTTCCACATACTTTAATGATGGAAAAACTGTCCAGGTGCCACAGAAGGGTCCAAGGTACTGGCAATTTAATGGTCTAGATTTTTGCAGGGAAATAGGACGATGACCACCACAGGATAAAAGTATGCTCTCCATGTCAGGCATCAGATTCCAGACCTAAGACACAGACCTAGCTTACTGGGCCTAACCCCTTGTACAGCTGCTCAAACATATCTATCGGCCTGACATAATCTCTTTGCTAGGATAGCAAAATCTGAGGTTCTCAAAGCTAGACTTCTTGGGTTCTTTCACGTCCACTCTTAGTCGCTCTTGCTATGCAACAGCTATAGAGAGACAACAGGGGAAGGAGAAGGGAAACGGAGAAGAGATGGGTGAAACACAGAAACAGTCTCTTCATATTATGGAATCCAAACCCCTGTCAGAATGTGCCCACACATTCATATATCTCTGTGGAGGTCATGAACCTGACAGCATAGGCAGGTTCTGACAGGGCTCGTCTTAGGACACTGAAAGGTAATTGCCCATTTTATGCATGCATTTTCCCCTGAAAAGAAATGAGAAAACAACCATACATGCCATGCACAACCCTTGCCATCATTTCTTACACCAATGCCCACATAGAGCAGCTTAAACCGCTAGTACTTGGGCCAGCTATTGGCCGTGGAAAAAAATAGAGTACAAATGTTTCTAGTCGGATAATTTGGGCGCTCCTGTAGTGGCCCGTACGTTTCCTGAAACCGTGGAAAGGTAGTTGCCCAATTTATGCATTTTCCCCTGAAATGAAATGAGAAAACAACCGTACATGCCATGCACAACCCTCATCGCATCATTT